TATACCAGGGGTGTCAAACCGCCGGCCCATGGGCCGGATGTGTCATGCCAAAACTGTATCCATCCCATTGCTCACAATGGAAAAAAAGGTGACACATCATGTGACGTTGCACGTTTGACACCCCTTACCTATATTATACCTGTGCATTTGGTTTTTCTTGCCTAAATGTAGAACCTTACTTTTTTCACCATTGAATTTCATTTTGTTAGATAGCACCCAATGTTCAAGTCTGTCAAGATCCTTCTGTATCTTAAACCTATCTTCTGGAGTGTTGGCTATTCCTGCCAGCTTGGTGTTGTCTGCAAATCTGATGAGTTCCCCATCTATCCCCTCATCCAAATCATTGATGAAGATGTTTAAAAGCACTGGGCCCAGAATAGAGCACTGGGGCACCCCACTACATACTTCCCTCCATGTAGATGCAGTTCCATTGAAGACCACATGCTGAGTATCGCCAGTCAGCCAGCTACGAATCCATCTGGTGATGATGCTAATCTAATCTAATCCGTTCATTTTAATATTTAATGTTGTACTTTTGCTTTTATGATACTGTAATCCGCCCAGAATTGCTTGACAGTAAGATGGGTGGCATAAAAATTTAATACATAAATAACTAGGTTTACCTATTGAGCATCAGCAAGAAGAATGTTACCCACAGGGACTTAAACATGAAATGCAGTTCATGTTCTGCCACTGTAGCATCTTCAGCAGCATTGCCCTTCCTTTTCTCTTCCCATCAGGATTTGATAAGATCGCTTTGATCTCATTTGTAGTGAGACATTTGCCTATAACTATGTTAAGGGTGCTTTTCCATTAAGCAGAGAGCCTTGAGTCATTACTGGTATGTATTAAGGCTATGCTCAGTCTGGATGATTTAGGGCAGGGGTGTCAAACTGCTGGCCCATGGGCCAGTTGCATCATGTAAGACTGCACCCACCCCATCTCCGGGGTGAAAAAAGTCACAATACATCACGACACATCACATGACGCAGCAAGTTTGACACCCGTGATTTAGGGCATGTACTTACTGGAACTTCCTTAAATCAAACATGATTTTTTTCTGGGTACCCACTGAACCCAAGAAAGATGCAACTTTTTCAAGCGGTTGCTGACAGATGCCCCTCCTATATGCTATAAGGAATCCTCTCCTCTACTAATCTAGATTGCTCCAGAGCTCTCATAAACCATAATCCATGATAACAGAGGAGACATATTTATTCCCAAATATGTTAGCAAGGGATGTGTTACCTACAAATGTTCAATTGTATATATACTTCGAGATCTTCTGACTTAAAAGTTTTACATTAATGCCTGAAAACAAAGACAAAGGATTCTAACATAACCAGAATTGTATATTGAATTGTGCATGTCAAATCATCTGTGCTGGATTTGGGATAAAAAGGTGGCCATTAATATAATTCCTTTAATTCTTGTAATTTTGCCTAAAAATAGTTACAAAATGTTCTACTGATGATATTCAAAGTATAAGAAAGAAGAGACAAGAACTCTTTTGGTGCTTCGAGTGAGAAGTTTCTAGGGTATCAATAATAACACAAATCAAGGTAGTCTCATAGATAGGTAATTTATTAATGTATAGCAGGGATCTTCAAACTTCTCAGCATGCTGGCTGAGGAATTCTGGGAGCTGAAGTCCACAAGTCATAAAAGGGCGAAGTTTAAAGACCCCTGATGTATAGAAATGTTTAAAAGTCATAATTTTAAAGGGCTGTTCAGAATGGACCATTCCAATTTGTCAAAGGAATTTAAAGGAAGACTCTATAGCATCATGCGTACTATTTGTAACTAGTTAAATGACTTAGATGAGGGAATAAAAGGGGAACTCATTAAATTTGCAAATGACACTAAACTCTTGCTCCTCCAAAGAAGGCAGGACAAGAAGCAATGGTTGGGAATTAATCAAAGAGAGAAGCAACCTGGAATTAAGGAATTAAGAAATTAAGAAACTTCCTAACAGTGAGGACAATTAACCAGTGGAACAGCTTGCCTTTAGAAGTTGTAGGTGCTCCATCACTAGAGAGTTTTAAGAAGAGACTGGATAGCCACCTGAAATAGTATAGGTCTCCTACTTGAGCAGGGGATTAGACTAGAAGACCTCCAAGATCCGTTCCAGATCTATTCTATTCTAGTTTGCAATGTTCATCTTATCGTCTGAACTATATCATCTCATCAAGAATCTAGTTAAATGTAATATGATTTCTATGAAAAGTTCTGAAACAGAAATAAACATGCATCTTATTATTCTCTAGGGGATTGGTTAGAACTGAGATGCAAAAGGCCAGAAGATTCGGGGGGGGAGGGACTATATATTTTTCTATTATTTTCCTGGGCCTTTATATTTTGAAATATAGAAGTAATCTTTCTCCAGAAAAGTAGTATTTGCGTAGTTGATAATATCCTACTGAAGCATAGGTACTAGAAATCATACAGTGCAGTTAAAGAGCTCTATATTCCATGAGTATTTCCATTTGTAAAACGTTTGGTTACTTTTGGGAATAGTGGCTTTTGTTAGGCTAAAGGAAAGAGTAAATTAGCCTCATGAGATGTTTGTGCTCCAAGGCCAATTTCTCATTTACCAATTCTTGTGAGGTTATTACAACAGGAGGCATTCCCTGCAGAAGTTTGATGAATCCCAAGAAGATAAAATCTCTGCCGGAAGAGACCAAAGTCATAGCCAATATAATATTAATTCTACAATGATTAATCTGATGGTTATGGGAAGCTCAGAAGAATGTGAATGAAATAGCATGGTCTTGTTCCTCAGCAACCAATACTGAAATGTATACTATTTGTAGAGATACAATATAGAGAATTCAAGATTTATTTTTCTAAGACAATCATTTAACCACAATTTAGGTGGTTTCTTAGACAAAAAGATTACCAGCTGAGAACAAAAAAACTTGACTTGCATGACATGTACATCTTTAGAAATAGTAACTTTAATTGAAATGGGAATGTACAAGAGTAACTCTTACCATAGAGGGAAAATTGTGACTTGTAACTTTTATGCATACCGACAAGTATGCATAAAAGGTAGGAAAAACCCTACTTTTAAACTGGACTTGGACTCTAGGCAATCCTTTAAAAAAAATGACTGTCTGCTGACAAGAATTCCTTCTATAAAGGAGGAAACAAACATAACCCTACCCATAAACACAGAAGAACTTTGTCTACTCATATCAAACTAATCTGAGGTACTTGCTACTCAGGGCAGCAAGTAGTTCAAATTAAAGAAAATCTATATGTGGGCGTTTCCACATATACATGAAAAAGAGATTCATTTGAGCTTTTCCCAGTGTTCCACCTACTTGATTTATAGGAAATAGTAGTTTTGAATTTATAACTATTTTACTTATTGTTTTAAAAAGATTCTAATATAGAATTTCGTTGTCGATAAAATTTGAAGTGTCAGTATTGTAAAATAAACACGATGTGATTGCTATATGAAAGCGCCACTTTAGCTGGGAGATTCTCTCTCTGCCCTATAAAGAAAGGCACTTTAGAAAAACTTTGCCAAGAATAACCACACAGACTTAATAGGCAGAACCAGGAGTCAAGACTGACAGGAGGGCTTCTGCTCACATCACAAAAGATCTTTGTAAAATTGAAATTACCTTTACCTACGATGTATGTAAGAACAGCATATCAAGAGATTAGCACTACTGTATCAGCAGTCCCCTGAACCTGACAATAACTGAAACCATCATAGAGAATCATATGAGATTATTTTTAAAAAAATCTAGAGGTTTTGGGGGGAATATTTGGGGATCTAGCTATGCCCTAGTGCCAGGGGAGCTTGCAATGCTATTGCCCAATATCCTCACTAGGTTCTTAACAATCATTAATCATGTTGTTGTTGTGAGGAAGATTGCAGGAGGAAGGAGTATTAGGTATGTTTGCGATCTTGAGTTATTTATAAAAATAACAAAGATGGGTTAAAAATATATCTAATAAATATTTTCCACAACCTCCACATTGCTGAATACTTTCTCCGGTTGTGTTGTATTAAATTTTCTTAAACGTTGTCATTTGAAATATTAAAATATATTTCATGTGGCTAGGAAATCTAGAATTGCTACTTTCATTTAGGTCGAGCTGACACAGTATTTAATCTGGTGTAACTTGGGGTGGTGTAGGAGAAGAGATGAAGAGGTGAGCACAGTTTAATGAGAACCTAGGGATTAATTAGGAGGAGGATCTGAGATTTGCACATTTCCTGGACAAATAGACACTTCCTTCTACTTTACAGGCCATATCTGCCTTGAATAGGTTTTTGTATATCAAAGCTTAAGCTGTGATTAACATTTCTTTCAATGGATACTAAATGTTAGACCTTTTTATCAATGAATGACTTTAACAATGAAAATGAATTTCACAAAGCTGATCCTGGACACTTTGATTTAATTATTTGATCCCAATGTGCAAATTCTAAATCTAGTTCTATGTGTTCTGTTTCCCAGAAAATAGAAATTAGCTATTCAGAATTTAGTTATACAGTACTAGGGTCCTGCAAATCCAGTAAAAGAGATTTGTACAACAGATTTGATGAATGCAGGGTACCTATCATTGGATCAATAAAGTACAGGTAGTCCTCAACTTACGACTACAATTGAACCCAACTTTTCTGTTGTTAAGCAAGACAGTTGTTAAGTGACTTTTGCACCATTTTACAATCTCTCTTGCCACAGTTGTAAGTGAATCACTGCAGTTGTTAAGTTAGTAACACGGTTGTTAAGTGAATCTGGCTTCCCCATTGACTTAGCCTGTCAGAAGGTTGCAAAGGGTAATCACATCACCCTGGGACACTTCAGCCATCGTAAGTATGAATCAGTTGTCAAGTTCTTAAATTTTGACCATGTGACCTTGGGGATGCTGCAACGGTTATAAGTATGAAAAATGGTCATAAGCCCCCTGTTTTCAGTGCCATTGTGACTTGAACGAATGGTTAACGAATTAAACAAATGGTTGTAAGTTGAGAACTACCTGTAACTGCGTTTCTTCAGCTTCATGTGGCTGCTTCATAAGTTGGTCCTGGCTGTCTGCAGTCTGTGCATGCAAACAGAAGACAATTGTGAGAAGATTACAAAGGAGCCAGAAATAGATGGGCTTCCATATTGACTCAGATAGGTTGGTTCATACTGTACTTATATGTTAGTTTTGCTATTCTCAAGATGTAGTTGAAGAAATTTTTTAATGTGTTACATATCCCAATATATTTGTGAACTTCCACCAAACAAAACAACAACCAAAAAACCCTGCCATCCTGCTAAACAATAAAGTTCCTTTTCTTCCATCAACTAGGCAGCTTTTAAATTTCATAATTAAACTGAAAAAAAAAGCCAGAAGAGAAAAAAATGTTCCTATTGTAAGCCACCCTTTTCCAATAAGGGAACAAAAAAATGAGAAAGATGCCATGATAGACACAACAATTTTCTTAGAGTCCTTTTTCTATCCTCATCCCACAGGAAAGATAAAGGATAAATTGTCTTATAGTCCATAGGGACTCATTATGTCCAAGATCAGAGAATGGAGACATCTGCAACACAAGTAAACCCTAAAGATTTCAGAATCCTAATTTAAGTATGATTTCTGATAACTCAAGAGCAGCAGGTTGAACACTCTGGAGGTATCTACAACCACCCCATAAACTTTGCCATAATTGGTTTGTTTTAATTAGTATTAAGCTACGTACAGTATTCAAACACACACACACACAATCTAAAAGAGTCATGTATTTTATCAGAGTGAACTCTATAATTTTTCTAGATTTTTTTTGAAATGCACAGTAGAAAAAAATACCAAAAAGGTATAAATAATAAATAACAATTTTTATGTTTCTGGTTACTCTATAGTGCGCTTTACCACAATCATTGGCCACTGAGTATGTACTATTAAAAACAAAATTAAATTGGGAAAAGCTCAATTTGTAGTAATAGGTCTCATTCAGGAATAATTGCATGGAAACCAAAGTTACATAGTTAAAATTAAACCAAGATTTCTCATCAACCTTCTAAATGCATCCCACATGGACTTTCAAACTTCTCAATACTCAGCACTGACAAGATTCTATGCCCCTTTTTTATGTCAGAGAGGTTAAGCTAATTACAGCTAAGGAATGGTGTTCCTATTTACCAAGTTTAACTGGTATTAAAACAATGGTTTTATTTAAAATATAAAGGGCCACTTTTATTTTAATAGATCTCAAAGCATGCAAGAACTGTTTTTCTTATGATGATTGCTAACCTGCCCTGTTTCTTTCAAGGCATTTAAGAAAAATGATACAGTACGGCTATGATTTTAAGAGAGGGATTAAGTGTTGGAAGTCTTCCAATGTTACCCACCGGGAGTATATGGATCCCAACACTTTCTCTGAGGTGTTATTCTCAGTGGTTAGCCATACAGAGTTAAAAGTGTACTGTTGTGAGCTATTCATTTTCCTGCCTTAGCAGAAAAATCAGCTTGCACCCATAACATTTTTCCCAGCTTTGATCCTGCCTTTCTTAATGAGAAACAAGGACTAACCACTGCCCACAATCCTTGACCATTAGAACTGCTGTAGATACTTCAACCTGTTCTTTTTTTTTAAAAAAATGAATCTTTTGTCATTCGTATAATAGTACCAAGATGATGACTCTTATTTCAGCAGTTCTGAACTATATACATTATTTGAATTTTCCCCACATGCATACTGTGAGTTTGACTGCTGAAACATAAGGCTAAACATATCTGAAGGATTATGCTTAATAATTCTCTATAAAATAGTTTGCTGGAAGCACGAGAGTCATCACAGATCTCTAAATAATAGTATTTGTGATACTTTCACTGTAAGACAGGGAAAAGACTAATATGGTCAAAGATTTCAAAAGTAACTTAGGTGTAGCTACAGTATCTGTCAACCATGTTTTACTGATCTTTATACATTATATTTTTAAATCCTTTATACTACACCATTCTTCTCTATTGTAGATCTGAGTCTGAGCATTGAAACCGAGTCACGACGCTAAGCAAGTGGGGCATTGCATCTGGTGCAGAGATAATTTTGGTGGCCAGGAATGAAGAAAGACATTGAGAGTTATGTTAAGAGTTGTGCCACTTGTGCTGCCATGAAGAGGCATCTTGGAAAACCCCCTGGGTTGTTGCAACAAGTCGCCGAACCCTCTCAGCCTTGGGAGGAAAGAGCTATGGATTTTATAGTAGAATTACCTGAGAGCAAGGGAAACACTGCAATATGGACTGTGATTGATCTATTTTCCAAATAAGCCCATTTCATCACTTGCTTGGGACTTCCCTCTGCCCAGAAGCTAAACAAACTGTTTTTGAAACACATATATCGACTCCATGGTACCCCAAACCTCAGGATTGAACTATGGAGTTCTTGGTCTGCTCTGAGTAGATTATTTGCTTAAAAATTCAACCATTTCATTACTCAACTAGGTAATATGAGTTGGATGGAATGTGAGATTTGCTAGCTGCTTATGTGTAATAGTTAGTCCTGAGAGTTTGGGTGGAGATGTATTTTCCTTCTTTATGGTTCCATGGTTACTGCTTTCTGCTTGATTGTTTGGTGCTTTTCCCTGCCAGTTTCCTTCCAGTCTTTTTATTGTTTCTTTTGAATTATGCTTAAATGAAATTTATCTCTATCTACCCATTGATGGCTGATTCCAGTATAATTGGCCTTTTTTTTTATTGAAATTTTTTTTAAAGTTTTACAAATCAACCCTCACCCAATCCCTCCCAAACCCACCCCCCTCCCCCCTCCCCAAACTTCCCAGAACTGAATATAGGCTTATTTAAAATTTTAAAAAACCTTTTACAACTTATAAAATAATTAATAATAAAATATACATAACATAAACATTAAAAAAAGAAGTACTTAAAAAAGAATTAAAAAAGAGAGGAAAGAGAGAGAGAAAGAAAAAGAAAAAGAAAAAAAGATAAAAAAATAAAAGAAAGAAAAAAAAGAGGAAAGAAAACAAAAAACGGGAAAAGAAAAGAGAAAACAATCTATACAAACTATAAAAAAGCTAAATGATATTTTTCCATATCCAAATTATATTGTATAAAATTTATCCATTTTTCCCATATAACAAAAAATTTCTCTTGAGATTGCTCCTTTAAGAAAGCCGAAATCTTTGCCATTTCCGCCAAGTAAGAAACTTTATAAAACCACTCTTGTAAAATAGGCAAAGATTCCTTCTTCCAATATTGTCCTACTAATATAATTGGCCTTTATAGCAGTTGGTATACCAGCTGCAAAAATATTAAGCAGGTTCTGAATTGAATCCGTATATCATTGGTGATCAATTTTTATAATCTATTTTCAACACAGTTGACAAATCAGTGAGTTGAGTGCATCAATGATTTAGTGAAAACTTGGATTTAATGTCACACAAATACTTGAATTAAGTTTACTATGAATAGTGCAGGATGTCCAGAAAAAAAAACTTTCATGGTACACTGAAAGGAATTATTAAAACAAAATCCAATACCAAACACCAATACCAATTCAGCTGATTCACAAAATTGCCTTACCTCACTTTGGTTGCCACTTTTGGCCCCATGATCCCTGCCTAGTTTTCTCCTGGAAGATTTAGGCGGTGATCTCAAATAAACTGCACTTAATTCAATAATCCAGTTAACTTTTATTTATTAATATTGAGAGCAGAAGACAACTAGTTCTTTAAATATGTTCCCATTCACTCCATTTTCATTAACCATGGCAGATTGGTTAAGGGATGCATTATTTGGGCACTTATCAGGTCATGTTAATTAAGAGGCTCCTAACACTAATTTGCCAATTCCATGCTCATATTTGAGGTTTTTTGTGTATGTGTTTGGTGGAAAGTGGATCTAGGAGTACACAGATCCCATCTGCTAAGGAATCGAAGCAGGTGGAATCAAGGAGAAAAGCCCTTTCCATTGCAGCCCCATCCCTGTGGAACATTCTACCTCCGGAGGTGAGAACTGCCCACTCCCTTTTGGTCTTCTGGAAGAGTATCACCTGGCTTTGCCAACTCCAAGGGAGGCACTCAGCAGTGGAGGCAGCTGATGGGGTAAGAATCCTCTCATCTCTATCACACCCAGCTCCTAGCTCTCTTAGTTCAGTTTCAATATACTTCTTAATAATGTTATAATTTCATGTTGGGGGGCTTCTGGTACGGAGCGACAGCGATGGCGGCTATCCTCTAGCCGTCCAGCTGGGAAAGTGTCAGAGCCGCGGAGCGCAGCGCGCACCAGCTGGCCCGCGGCTCGGAATTCCTTTCCCGGGCAAAGGGAAGGGACAGAGAGTGCAAGAGTAGAGGTAGAACCCCTGAACCCTCTCTGGATTTAATTCTAGAGGGGGTGAAAGGAGTGTTCCCTCGGAGCTCTTGCTGTCTCCGCCTCCCAGCTGTTTTTGCTTCCTAGGAAGCAAAAGAAACTGCCGCTTCTATCTCCGTGCTTATAGAGAGTTGGTGAGTAATTCTTAAAAAACGGACAGAGCAGTTTAAAGGATTTTTTCTTATATAATTTAGGTGTTTATTTTTTTTTATTTAGTTCTGATTATTTCTCCTTTTTTTTTATTACTGTGGAGAAGGAATTAAGATGGCGTTTTGAAAGTGACGGAGTTTTTTTTCCCTTGTCTTTTGTTTCACTTTCTCCTTTTAAGGACTGGACTTTACTTTTGTTTTTGGTATTGAATCCTCTTTTTTGATTTTTTTTTCTTGGTCTTTTTTCTCTGGATTTTTAAGGATTATAGTGTTTCTGCTGCCTCTTTTAAAAGTAAAATTTTCTCTCTTTCCCCCTCATCTCTTTTTTTTGGGGGGGAAAGGGAAGTGAGAACTGTGTCATTTAAAATGGCTTCAAAGAGACAGCCGCCTTCTACAACATCCAAGGTGATTTCCTCCCCTATAACTTCTACTGCACAACCACAACAACAACTTAAACACGCACCACCGGCACAGCCACCACCCTCCCCTCCTTTGCCTGGACTTTCAGCACAAGAGGCTAGAGGTATAATGGGAGAGGCTGTAGCTCAAATGAGAGAGGAAATGAAGCAATTTACTACA